CTGTAGAGGGCAGTGTCACTGGCCCTCATATGTGGGATCCGAACCAGGGCCCTCTGGCATCCCAAGCCAGCTCTTAACCAATGCGCTACTTGGCCAGCCTGAGATTATTTCTTAATTTATGATTTTATGGCCAAACCTGTAAAGCAAAAATAACTGAGCTCTTGAAAGGCAGTTCCATCCAGTGTATTTTTTTTTAACCTGGCCCATAACCACTCTACCCAGAATCATCACAGCTGAATCAATCCAGGCGGTTCTTTGAAACAGACAAACTGAGCATTTCAGATGTGTCACCAATTGGATACCGAAATCTCAGACCCTTCACTAAATAGGAAATCTGAGATGTCAATTTCAGAAGCTCAAGGACAACATGAATGAAAAGGGTAGGGGTAAAATGTGACGTTGTGAGTGGGTGTGGATTTTAATGTAAAAAAAATATATATTCCCAGCCTTCACTTAAGTTCAGGTATTCAACATAGTTCCCTCATTAATGTTTATCTAATTTTTATTAATAAAAAAATGTTTACACTCTCTGAACAAGATTTCTCAGGAAACATGCTTTCAGTGTTCTTATTTAGGAAGCAGTTTCCCAGTGGAAAGAAGAGAATCTCTAAATGGCTTAGCAGCCTGTACAGAATATTTGGGTGTATATATACTCCGAAGGTTTGCTTTCTTTAGCAGAGCTAGACTATTAAACTATAATTGTTCTAAACACTTTCTCTCAAAAAATATGCACATAAAGTAATAATGTTTCTCACTATCTCACTTAGAAAATACCTAGGTCAGACATACCACATTTCTTTCCATAGTTATGAAATACAGGATTAGAAAGTGACAGCTGTGGAACTAGGATTCATGGTATTGCACAAGTCAGAGTAACCACTAGGACTCAAGATGTTTCTAGATGGTTCCTATGGTGAGTGGAGGACCAAGCAATATGCCAGAATGGATGAGAAGTTGTACATAATCCAGAGGTGCCTTTAGATGCTGGGTGAAGAAGCCCAGAGGGAGGCCATGGCCACTCTACTTGATCGCTCCTTGTGGGTAGCTCTGGTCTTATAAAGAGCAATGCCACAGACAAAAATAACTCAGGTCACCAAAATTCTCCTTCCAGAGTCACACTGAACTAAGTTCATGTTCTCACTCCATCAATTATACTCAACTGGACTCTATCAATTGGATCTGGTACTTCTCTAAGTTTCCATTTCCTCATCAGTAGAAGGGTTGATCGTGATAATTAAATAAGATACTTCTATTTAAAGTGTTGGTACCGTGTTTGAGATCTAAGAAGTCTCAATGTGAGCTATTTCTAATGTAATCAATGGTAATGAAGAGAGTAGATGAGCCAAAAGTAAAAGAAAAACCAAAGAGATAAAGTATTACTGATTTTTCAATTTTACAAGAACCACGTTTCTGAGAATGCCCTACAGTAGTCCCCCCGACTCTGCTCTCTCTGAGGAGAGGGCTTTTACTAAGTGACTTAACGGGCTGGTAGAGTGTACAGCATGGAGACGCTGGGCAAACGGATGATGGTACATCCGGGGCGGAATGAGTGGGACGGTGCAAGATTTCATCATGCTAGTCAGAACGATATGAAATGTATAATTTATGAATTGTTTATTTCTGGAATTTTCCTCGGACCACTGTTGACCCCAGGTCACTGAGAGCAAGGAAAGCGAAAGCAAAGGTAAGTGGGACTCTGGTATTTCCTTCAGGTCTGGCAGGGGATCGAATTACATTGAAAGGTGCTAACCGCTAGCAAGGGTGTGGGTCTCTGAACATTTATCTCCTGCAATTTTTTGGAGTAGCTTTTGATTTTTATTATTATTATTTTTTAATCGCTAGCCCAAACTTTATGCGAAACAGTTGTCTTAAAGCTTCCTGGAGCCCTCCAGAGGTAAAATGACTAAATCCCTTAGCTCCCTGACTTTTTGGCTTTGTTTAACTACTTGGTGTTGAGGCCTTCAGCTGGGAGGGCAAAGAGGGCACAGCTATGAACAGCTGCCCTGGGGCAGAGCTCAGTTCTGCCCACTGGGGCTGTTCTTATTTAACCCACAACTGCCCCACATCTCAATTTTGCATTTTTCTCTGCATGTCTGGAATCGGTCTCAGCTTATAGGGACTTGAACACATTTAACATGTTGGCTCTATTTCTGTATCTTAACTCCATTCCATATAATCCTCCTACTCTGATAAGCCAATCAAGTTTTAGCAAGTCACACCTGTGGAAGAGAATGGGAAGGCTATTTATTACAAGGCAGTGTTTGTAACATGAATAGCACGTACACTTATACCCTCTTTTACTGATACGGGATTTGAGGTTCAGTAAAGACCCAGTCACATGGTGGAGAGG